TCATAAAAAAGCCCTGCCCTGCTCTTGTGGGCCAGATGGAGGTTGCCGTGACATGCCATTCGTGGCTTTTTGCAAGACCCTTCTGCAGGTTTTGAGCATACTGCAGAAGGGATGAATGTCGCTTCACTCTGACGGAAGAAGCCAGGAGGGTCACCCTGTTTTGATGCAAAATTGCTGCAAGAACTTGTCCTATCCTGGCAAAATGAAGAACTTGTTTCTGTGCATGACTTTGATCTAGTATAGTCTACTGACTTCTTTGGCAGTAACTGTGATTAAAGAGAGGGTGTTAATTACATTCTTCTCATAGTGAGATTCTCTTAGAATATGTTGATTCACTGACAGTATTGTTCCTGGAATAATGCAAAGGCTCTAGGGCCACATTTGTTAAGTGTTATGCAAGTGGAGAGCGGAGTTGATGGTTATATTACTCAACGATAACTGTTCCCTTCTGTGTATATACTTGGTAGGGCCTTATAGTAAACTCCTATCTGGCCAAAAAAAATTAATTTCCCCCTTTCCTGCATGGGGATTCTGCTTTTTGTCAGTGCCACCTGTTTCTCAAGAGCTCTTTGGTTTATAGTTACCAGCCTGAAAAAATCACGTATTACTGGTTTTGTGTTGCAGACCCTACACATCAAGGGTTTGCTCTTTCTCTGAGAGAAACGGTGGTCCTCAGGAAGCAAATGCTGGTGTCTGCGGTGAGATTTCTGAACAATAGCTTGCAGTCACTTGTGGACACATCTGTTCCAACACAGCATAGCTTTACGCTTAAGGAGAATTCTCAGTCTCTCTGTGACTGCACTGCACAAGGGTTTGTTGCAAGCCTACATCTTCGGAGGGCAGAACAACATTAGTCCCCTGGTCAGGGGGCCACTGCCAGAATCGCCTATGAGGGACTAGCACAAGGTCCTGCTTTGTATTCCTTAGCCCTATGTTTCCTGTTGCAAAGGCCTTATAACTCCTTACATATGTGTATCTGAATCAAGTAGATCAAAGTTGGTGCCAGAAGTTAACTACTCATTCCTAGAGAGCCCAAATGTCAGCATAGGAGGAGGCATGCAAGTGCGTGGCAAGGAAGCATTTTTAGTAATAGGAATAGATTTAAGCTTCCGAGTGGGTTGTGTAGTGTGAAAAGGGGGAATGCAGCGTCTTGGCATGTTCCAAAATATCCAACTCACTGTATTTCTGGCCAAGAAGCAACAGCTGAGATTTGAGTCACCCTCCTTTTTGCAGTCTACTAAATATCGTTCCCTAGGTAGGGAACAAGTCAGGTAGGGAAGCTCCTGACCACAGCAGACAGGAGGTTCAATTCAATAGCCTGACTGAAAAGTAGATGAACAGGATTGGCAATCTAGTTCTTCCAGGGCTATATAAACCAATGCTCTTCACTTCTAATATGTAATGGGTCATGGTTGCGTACTCCCCCGTCCGTTTCAGTTTACAAGGATCTCTGTTACTGGAGCCCATACCCAAGCAAAACCATTCACAAGCTCCTGACAAACACCTATTCTTTCCTCACACCTTGAGATTTCCTGATTTCCTCTGGCTAGCCATTGTATTTTGTGTTTCAGTAAGGTAGCCATGCCCCGTCACATCCCTTTGTGCGCTTGGAAACTAACCGTTGCTGGCCTCAAAAAAACCAGTTCCTCTCAAGAAATCCCTTTTAGCCCATGCAAGTCTGATGTGCCTCTCATGAACACACTCAGGGGTTTATCTTATTATCAGATTAAAAAATTGTAAAAAAAAGTCCACCCTGCTCATAACTGAACTAATGTGTGTAGGCATATATCAAGTTGTTTTCAAAAAAACAACAACCTCTCATTTGGAAAGATTAAAAATGTGCCAAATTCTTTGTGTGTCTCTGTCAAAAGCCTGTGAATCTATAGCTCGCTGCAGAGGGGAACATCTGTGTCTAATTGATGAAATTCAGCTTTCATAATGGATGATGAACTAAACAGTTTTGTCAGTCATTCAGTTGTGGGTTATAAATTCATCAGAAATCCCTTTTTTCCCCCTCAGATCTGCCTTGCATTTCCTGTCCCTTGTGGTTTTTTCCTGTTCTTGGACTAAGTCTTGAATCTTTCCAGTCTCCCAAGCTATAATAAATAAACAATTGCCCCAGTGCCATGACCTTTAAGCTGTATTTCTGGAATGCTCACCTTGCACAAGCCACTAACCCTCGCCCCATCCAAAAGCAGCTCGGTACCTGTTGGGATTCAGCTAGCAGCCAACTGGCAGCCACGTGGCTTGCAGGGGAACCAAAGGCATCTGAGTTTGACTCCTAGGCTCCCCAGATGTGCACAAAATCTGCTAGATATTTTCACTCCAAATAATGACAGATTCCAGTGAAAATGAAGGCTGGAAAGGGAACCTATCCCGAGAGTGGAGCAAGAGATTTTTAGGTGAATGAACCTACCCATTCAGCACTTTGGTGATTAATCATGCAAGATCCGCTGAGCTGATGTAGGATCTCTAGCAGTCTGCTGCTTTTCGGTGTTAAAAAGTCAACTGTTAACAAAGTCTTCTGGAGGTGGGACTGTTAATGCCTCCAAGTTGCTTCTTGATATCTGAAAAAAGACAATTAGGTCAGTTCACATACTCCTCAAAACAGAATTCCAGTCCTCAATCACTGCTAAATTAAGGAAGTTTGGGCCAATCTGCAATCCTTCTACAGCCACAAGTACCCTTCAATAGCAGCAGTTTTGGTGCACATTCTGGCTCCAAAACTGGGTGCATTTTAAATTGAAAATTTAGCATTATTTACTGCCTCTTCCTATGCCAATATTGTTATTAAAAGCAAGCTCAAAAGACTAGCATGGGACAAAGGTAAGTCTGCTCAGATGTGCTGGGACATAGGGAAGAAATATGAGGGAAGTCACAGAGGAGCCCTCTTTCCTTCTACCAAGTGTAGGAGTTACCCTCTCCATAAGGGAAGAGAGAGCATATTGACCTGAAACTAGCTAGATTACAGCAAAATTCAAGTGACAACAAATGTATCTGTAATTTTGATGTGAATTAGCAGATGAGTCTAAAAGTTAGGATCCTTAGATTCTTAAATTGACATAAGGCTTTGCTGTTTCACTGGGATTTTTACCATACCTTAGCTAATTCAGTTTAAAAGCAATAATTTTAGTTTCCAAAGCAAAGACTCTGTAAATTTCTATTTATTTTGGTACTACATACTGTGGGACACCTAAAGTTTTTGATGGAGAATTATAGTCTTCAAATGATGCGGGCACATGAATATAGTTTCTTTTTCACGTGAGCCATAGTCAAGCCCAGGTACTTTAAAGAGAAGCCTGTATTTTATTCCACTAAAATTAGTGCAAGAATCGATTTAAATGACACTTTCGAAAGTCAAAGATTGGTTTCAGCCTGGAATACAGAATACAATTTCTACCTCCATTGCTGCTTTGGTCCTTTTCTATTGCCATCCACCCTGAAACACTCAGACTATGAAAAGCACCTGCTGGAAAACAAAGTTCATGCCTTGCAAAACAGGTCTGGCTTTTTGTTTTTATTTAAGGGCTTTTAACATTTGGCATTGCATATTTTTTTTTTCCATTTCAATATGAGCCAAGGGGCGGGTCAGGAGAAAAAAAAATCCTGGAGTATTTTGATCTCTGTGGCTTTATATGGACTTTGTAAGCTTTGTTTGTTGTCCTGCCAAGCTTTCTTTGTGTTTAAATAGATAACAGGCCAAGACAACTAATCATTTCCAATAAAAAAAACCCCAAACCCAAAGCGTTCCCTTTCTTTTCCAATTAATGCTAGTAAACATAGGTTCCTAGACAGGGCTTGTGACCTAAGTACTTCTGACTTATTTTTTTCCCCTTTTCAAGAACAATTGCCCAAGGTGTGGACAGCACTCTGTGCTCTCCAAATGTATGAAAGAATCTTGAACGAAGGCTCTAAGAGTGTCTCTGGAAGAAGGTAATTTAAACTATGATATCTGGAAACCACCTCGCGTACCTTTAGAGAACAAGTGAACGGTGGTCAGTGGGACCATTTGCAGATTTTGTTCCTCTTTGGGTTCTGCAAGTTATTTATGGAGAAGGAAGAAATACAACAGTGATAGTCCCACATGAAATTTGTTATGTAAAATGCATGCTAATTGCTAGTTTACTTGCAAAAGCTGATATCTGCTATCACTATTTTGGTAGGCTTTGTATTTGAAGAAGAGACAATTTACCTAATGAAAACCACCCCGATTTTACTGCTTGTTGAAGATGGGAGGCAGAATCCCTTTGAAACAGGAGATGAGTTAAATAGATGATGGTGATAATCAACGCGAGGGCTTTTTACATTAAAAAATGGTTTTGTAAGGAAAATAATAGCACTCAAGACACAGTCTTTGTGGTGACACCGTTTTTCTTTAGCTTCTTAAGACTTTTATCTCTCACAACAAACTGTTTAGGACCGCACATTTGCGTGGTCAGAAACTTCCACATCAAAAAAATGTATGCAGGACTATAAATAAGCTAGGAATATCTCATAGCCAAAAGCAGATCAGTAGTAGAAAATGAGAATTATGAATTATATTATTTATATTTGGGGGTGTGAGGATTGATTGTTCAGTATATGCTTCCATGCTCTCTAAGAGTGACTGTCTATATTAGAGGTTAATGCTCCAAATGGTGAAAGTAGAAGATAGTCTCAAGAAACAGAAATTCATGGAGTTTGTAGAAGTCTTATCTTATACTAGTCACTGAAGAGAAAGTAAAGAAAGGAGTATGACCTTGCAGTAGATCTAGCAGGCTGCATTCTGTATTTGCAAAATTGTTAATTCATCTCCAGTAAGATGCAAGTTTATTTATTTTCCAGGTATACTATTCCTGTGGTGCAGTGGTGGAATCGATGGAAAGAGGTCTGATTTTATCACCAGGTTTTCCAAACAACTACTACCCAGGGACACACTGTGTGTGGCAATTTTTCATTCCTATGAGAACCCATCTTATCTTGGAAATTTTTGACTTCGACATTTTTGAGAGCGTAAAACTTGGACTTTGTTCTCCCTACTACAAAATCCTCCCTCCAGACCTGGATGTCAAAGGTGGCTCAGAATCTGAGCAGCACAGGAGATCAATCAAAGGATCTTGTTAGTCATCTGTATGACCTTCCAGGAGCCACCTCAAAAAAAGATGAAGCCAAACAAGCATCTGAAGAAAAACAGTCTAAACAGCTGAAGGACGCCAAAGCAATTACCAAGGCTCAGCCAGAGGAACTGCCATTCCCCGTGGCTGGTAGTGCCACGATCCATGGGCAAAATATCAGTGGTCTAGGAAGAGAAGATTTGAAAGGGAAAATCTTGCTTGCCCACCTTGCTGCTAGTGAGCAAGATGAAGTTATTGGAGAAAGTTGGGCTCTTCCCACAACAGTACTGCCAGTGGAAGTCTCCTCCACCCCACAGTCAGCAGTGGACATCTGTCCCCATGATGTTTTGTACGTTTCTGATCTCATCACATTTTCCTCTCGCTTTTGTGGACCAAATACACCTTTAAACAAGCCTATGGTCTTCGGTTCATCTCTCGAAATGGTTGAGGTTATCATGGAACTAATCACCACCACGGACCGGGGTCGAGGCTTTGCAATGCTCTTTGAATACAAGAACATCACTGAACCTGATACTGTAGATGCTTTGCGGCAGGAGAGAAAGGAAAACATGATGATGCTGGCAATTATAACAGGGATTGTCTTCTTTGCACTTGCTTTGCTCTCTGCCCTCTGCGTAGCGTGCAGGTAAGAGGATGCATATCTGAAACCTTTGAAGCATACGATATTATCTGTACAGGTCAGGAAAAAGTTGCGTTTCTTTGCTCTGCTAATGCTTGCTGTTAAATGTAGAAGTGTGTGCACATGGAGGAAGCCAGTACCAATTACTGTTCTTGCCCTATGCTCCTAAGTTTTTTTTCTTTCCCAGTTCCACAGTTCCTCTGTCTCAAATTTATTTTCTTTTTCCTGAAGAAACACCTGCAGGATGAGGACTCTGTTGGGCATTTATTTATTTCAATAGCAGTGGTGCCTTTGAACCTTGCTTGTGGGACAGTTTAGTTGGCCATTGAACAAAAAACGCAGAACAGGAAGATGACCCTTCCCTGAGTGTCCCACATAGCTGTAACATTCACTGCTTCTCTGCACAGTGATTCCGTATTTTGACTCTAACCATCACTAATACTCTGCGGAAAAGTAAAGAGTAACAAAAAGTATTAGTACGTGGAATTAAGATGTGGTTACATATATTAAATAATATTTTCCCTTCTGTAAAATGTTTTATCCAAGAGGTTGCGCAGACATTTTAGTTCGAACGCTCCTCAGACAGTAAGTAATCAGCACCTGCCTTTCAGTGGCAGGGAAGCCAGGCAGAGCTGCAGAGCCATGCTGCAGTACTGGTGGTGAACCCCAGTGAAAGCTCTCTCTCGCTCAGACCAACAGAAACACTGACCCGCTTGCGATACCGGGTAGCAGCATTGGTAGTCACCGCCTCATCTGCAACGAGCTGGCCAAACGAGCTGATGATCAAGCTGGGTTTCCGACTGCCAGGCCCTGGTGCTAACCAGTTAAAAGGCTAAAACCAGCCAGTGATGAAAGCTTACTTCCCCAGTCAATGACTTTCTTTTCTCTAAGTCTTTCAGAGGAAAGCTTCTCCCCAACAGTATATGTTTGGATTTTTCTTACTAACTCCCTAGTGAAAACATTTTTGTAGAAACAGTTTTGGCTTTTTATTTCTGCTCTGACAAATTCAAAACAAAACCCAAGCTCCCCAGGTTTTTGTCAAAACAAACAGTACTTTTGAAATGTTTTGACTTCATTGGAAGCATCAGTTAAACTGAAACAAATGCTGTTCCTTGCAGGGCTCCATTATGGTGATCCGATATTAGTACTAACACTCATTTCCCAGTGGCAGCATTCAACTGGTCCGTCTTTTCTCATCATCCATCTCCTGCCTCATTTCTTGTGCAGCTTCCAGCCCCTGCAAGAAGCCAGCACACGTGCTGTAGCCTCCCTTGGTGCCCGGCCTTTGGCTTCCTCAGCTTTGGCCACGAGGCAAGGAGCTGAATGACCATGCAAATGCAGGCTGTACTAAAAATATTCTCATCAGCCTTTGTTCCAGCATTACCTGAGTGCTCAATTACACCAGACTGGGGAAAAATGACTGCTAATGTTTACAGAGTCCAGCATCTCATAAGGTTTCAGGGTTGTGCAACTCCTAGTAATTGAAGAAATTTTGATACAGGTACTTTGTCTTCCTTGTCCTTTTGGAGGCTACATTTCTAGCTTTGCTGAACAGATGCAAAGTTTAAGCCATCACTGTATTGGGTATAAGAGAAGATGGGCGAGGTGGTGAAGCTTAAATGATCTCCCTTGCTGCATATGGAAATTCTTGCTTTCAGGGTCCACGCTTTTCATTGCTGTAAGAGTTAAACTTGCATGCATCACATCTAACTAGCCTTTTTCCTTTTTAAAGGGCTTGCAGAACACTAATTTAGACCACATTTTTTTTGCTAGCTCTAAGGGAAAACGTCTGGTGGAAAATGTCTTCTAGATATTAAATATTTTATTTTTATACCCTTGCCAATCTTCAGAAGAGAGAGAAACATGTTCCCTTTGCTATGGCAGCAGTCTGGGCTGATACACATGTTGAGTAGGCTATTCTTGCTCCATTATCCCTATTTAATTTCAGTGTAACTATCCATGAAACGGAGTGTTATTCAAACCAAAAAAGCTCACTGCCAATATGAGATTTCACTAGCTGAAATTTCCTCTGTGTAGATAGTTTAGAAAGTCAGGCCATGCTGATCGCATGTAGAATTTGACTTTTGCTTTCCAGATGTTTACAAAATGTTCTGCTGTTGCTAACCAACAGAGAAAATCTAATATAGTTTTTTTTTTTCCCCACACAAATATTTGTATGTTCTTGTTACTGAGAATACTTCCTACCACGGTTACTATGGCACAGTATCGGGGTTAGGCTCACTTCTTGTAACGTTAGCATTTAGGCCTTTTCATTGCTATATGACTTTTTTTTTTTTAAAAAAGGAAAAATATATCTTAATCACATCCTGGCTATATATAAAAGGAGATTATATCTAGTCCTTTAGTTTTTTGAAAGGCCATTTCCTATCCCAGCTGCCTGTAATCCCTGCATACATTTTCAGGGAGGCCTTGATTCCAATACATATTTATTTATTGTCAGACTTAAAACAATGAGATTTGATATGTGTGAAAGCAATGCCATGATCTGTGCTGAGTAAACCCACTTACAGTGCACTGGAAGATTACCCCCCCCCCCTCCTTCCTTTTACTGATCCAACTATTTGAGGATATTGGTCTCTGGCCTCTTCTGGTCGGAGCTCACCAACACTTCTCAGCTGCCATTTCCTTATGCAGCTCAGAATGAGATTGCAGAGGCCATTAAGCATTTCTAAGAACTTCCTCTGGTTTGAGCCTACCATCTTCTATTTTATGCTTTTTGCCCTAAATGAGGACTTGAATTCAGGTGTCAAAGGTCTGTTAGCCACAGCTTGTCCTCACTGCAGAAAGCATCAGGATTGCAAGGGGTTTAGGGGAGAAATGAAGATACTTCAGTGAAGCAACACACTCAGAAACGGGACTAGCTCACCAAGATGTGATAATATTTGCCATGGCTGGAATGTGGCATTGCAGAGGAACCTCACCAGAAGATGCTAGAGCAATCTCCAAGCTCTTAGCTTTGTAAACTTGCCTTCCACTTTCTATACTCTTCCTACTCTGCCTGCTTCTCCGGTCCCAGGTTGAAGTTTAGCTATGTTTTTCACCATTTTTAGCTGCTGCTGTTGCTTAGCTAAAAGTAGCAGGCTCAGCCTTGCCAGGGGTAGAAATGGCCCAGGATGGGCTTGGCACTTGCTGCTGCTCTACTGCACCAAGTCGTCAGCAGTGTCTGCTCGGGCTCATTGCATTCAGCCAGGGCGAAGCTCTCTGGGGAAACTCCAAGTCTCTGCCACACTGCAGCTTTTGTTTGCTGTTTGGGGAGGGAATGAAAGCTTCAGTTGTTAGTTGGCCAATAATTCTAATTACTTTTGGCCATGAGGGCTGGCTTGAGTTATGGGGTATTTTTTATTTTCTTTCCCAAGCCCCCAAGAACAAGGGATGTCCACCTTATTTAATTTTAATCCTATCCAGTGCAGTCAGACTTTTGCTCAATGGTTGTGACCCATGGATTGCAACTGCATTTCACATCTGCCTAGCCTGCCAGTGACCTGTTTCCAATTCCAACCCCTGTGTGTACAGCTATTTCATCAAGTCATCATCTGCTGTCATTTCACTCCATACAAGTTGCCCCGCTAATCACTACCTGCAGCCTGATCTTCACCTGATGGTGACATGCTTCAGCCAGTACTGGTGCCTGACAGGCTAATAATTCTGTATCTGTTGTCTTTAAAACCTCTTTGGCACCTGCATTTTGCAGGCATGCCATACGAGGAAGAGAAATCTGACTGCCAAACCAGACTACACAGTAATGGCTCAGAAGAGGTGGTAAGAATTGAGCATACTTACATTTTGTTTTACACTTGCCCCTACTATTTCTCCTGTAAACATACGTTGAGCTGCACCAACTTTTTTTCAGGCAACCACTCTTCCCCACCAGGGCACACACTGGGGACTCCTGGATAACAGCACTGTAAGGACTCAGGTCGGGGGCTAACCATAGCCCATCATCTTCCTGCTTCATTAGTTTTCCCTGTGGTTCATTCTGCCAACCAGCAATATGGCTTTCCAAGTAGTTATGGTGCCAGTTAATTATTGTAGAGCACAATATTTATTGAGAATGGCAAGAAGAGGAGCCAGATCAGTGCAAGCTATTGCAGTTTCTAAATGCAAAAGCTTGCTTGCCTATCAAAGCTTATAGTAGTTGTCAGTTGCTGAGAATTTTATAATGGATAATTCATCTATTGCAGTTTTATCCCAGAGAACAGAAATATCCTATAAAGGGGATAGCTGTATACAAGACAGAGGAACACATTTTTACCTGGCTTTCTAAGAACTTGAACGTTTTGTTTGTTAAACCATGTTGAACGTTCAAAATAACCAGCCCCAAAGTGAAGGCCATCCCGATAACTAGCTAGTCTAGCTTGTTGATGCCTGATGTTCAGTGTGGAAGAACTGTGTCCTAAGTTTTGTTTTCTTGAAGGAGAATATTTCCTTTATGCTCTTTAATCCCTGGCTGGGAATATTTCAAAAAAATTTGTTTGTAGCATGCCAGTCATTTGAAACAAGAAAGCTTCATAGGAATGTACCAGATTTGATTAAATTTTCATCATGGGCTTTGGCAGGGAGGGGAAGGGAAGGGGAGGGGAGAAAGAGGAAGATACAATGTGATTTGGAGAAAGCAGGAAATTGAACATAGTTCTCTGACTACTTACACGAACGCCTTCACCACTGGGCTATTCATTATTTTGGGCATGTTTTGTTAGTCTCTCCTGCTGAAATAGTTCTGGTGCTTAATAAGAGCTTCTGGGAAGGGAAAGGGGGAAATTATTTACATATGCATTTTCTATTCTGAAGTATTTCCTACTTCGCTTGATCAGGAGACACCACTCCTCCTTGGATGAACCTTCCTTACTCCCCCTCCCCAAATCACTGAGTTACAGAAAAACCTTCTCTGCTTTAGCTCTGAGTATACCCAAGAAGCCCAAGTGGTGGCTGATGTGATTTTGCATCATGGAGTAACAGTTTTTCATCTGGAGTTCTTCTGAATTAAGGTCTTAGGTACAAACTTGTCCTCCTCCTTTTCTGTAGTCTACTCTGTATTCATTAGAAACAGTCCTGGTGGTGCTTCATGGGTTCTTTCTCCCTCAGTATAGTCATCTGTCAATAACCATTTTAAGCAATCTGATGATAGGGTGAGGAATGGGACCCACTACACCTGAGACAGAGAGGATACCAGTTCCCAGCTAGCCTCAGCAAGTGTCCTCTGAGCCTCCATTCTTGAAAGGAAACAGTAATGCAGTGGCAATTGAAAACTTTAGACCAAAAAAAAAAAAGAAAAAGAAAAGAAAGAGGAGAGGGGGGGGGGGGGGAAGCTTGTGTGGAGGAGATTAAATGCCTTAAAACAACAAATCCCTCCAACAAGAAGAGGAAAAATGCCAGCCAAGAGCACTGATAGGATACATGACCAGTGTTACTGTTTTTCTTGCTCTCTGGTCTTAACACCCCTATGTGTTTCTATGCTGTCCCTTGGAGAACTGCTGTACACCAGAAATAGTGACTGAAGCAAGTGTATTTTATCTTGTTCATTAGTGCCTGCCTTTCTTCATGACATCTTCACATCTTATTCATCCAAAATGTGCATAATGCTAGTTGTTCCATAATGTCAGTTTTAGAAAAACTATAGGGCAAACAAGAATATGCTTTTGTTTCCTTTCAGCTTAACAGGCACACGTATTTGGGAATTGTCTGCCATAGTCTTTTCCTGTAATAGAACGTTCACAGAAATGAATAGCATTTGATACTCTTGGCTTGCTAAGTATAATCTAGCACGCAACACTGGCTGCAAAGATTAAGTATTTTGTGTAGCCAGATAAGAACGATGTCACTGCCCAGACCGAAGATGGAACTTCGGTCCTGCTATTTAGTTACTGAAGTGAAAGAGCAGCCTGCTGAGGAGGAAGGCTGGTAGGACTTTGGAGAGATCTGAATTCCATTCCTGATTTTGCACTGATCACAGGAAGAATACAGACCCTTTTCTTCGTCTGGTTTTCCATTACTTAAGCATACCATTTTCCCCCCTCCTGGCCTACAGGTCTTGGTGCACTGAGTCTTAGCAAGAGTTTTGGACTCTCCTGTAGGTAGATCAGCTCTTAACCTGCTGGGTCCCCCTTGTAGGATGAGTACAGATGAGACCTTCCCTTCTGTGGATCTCTCTGTGGATTCACGGGCCTGTTGTTGTTGCTGCTGTTGCTGTCTCTCCTTTTCAGGCAGAAAACGTGCCCCAAAAGGAGCTCATCCAACGCGTGCAGTGACCAGGAGGTTAGTGCTAATGGCAATTTCTGTTTCTCTTTCATATTGGCTGTTGCACTGTTTATCTGACGATGTTTACTGGGGCATGTTCTGAGTTGTAGAACGGGATCCAGAACTCTGCTGTCGATATCAATGAGCTCCAGCTCGTGGTGCCAAGTCGGGAGAATGAAAACAACAATCACTCTGTCAGCCGGGAGCAGGCGGGTAAGCACGGCGCATCGGCAGGAGTTGGGCATAGCCTGTTAAGCAGATAGTTTCTTCCTTGCAGTCCTCCTCCCTGTCTTGCCCATGCACAGTTGGAGAACACTTCATAGCAGAAAGCTTTTGTTGTGGGAACTATCCCTTGCTACTCTCCCCCTCCCACTGGTAGATTAATTCCCCTGGCAAGCAGCACACAAGCACAGCTTCAGGACACTGCCAACAAAAGCTGACATAGCACATGACATTGCAGAGACACCGGGTTAGCGGAGCAAATGTGTCTGGTTCAGGCTGCTATAGACATGACTTATCCATAAATTCTGGAAGAGTTTCTTCTGCCCTGTGTCTATCCTTGTCTGGGAAGGATGGCCTATACTGTGTTTGGACAACCTCAGCTCCTGGAGCTAACTTTTCTGAAGGACGTTATGGATAAGACTGCTTTAGATGGCACTTACTTCACAGTGTGTTTCCAGACAAGAATAGGAGTCCTCCCAACCAAGCTGCAGACAACGTCACTTGCTGCAATTTTGAGTCACAACATATGAATTGTATCAGTGCTCCTTTTGATTGGTGAAAGCCAACAAGGAGGCACTTCATGTTGTATTGCTAGATACCATCAGATTCCCACTAAACTATCAGACACTATGCACAACTCTTATAAGGATATCAGAGCTCCTTATAGTTTGGTGTCTCCTTCTTTGGAAGGGTCATTGAGGAAGTTGTGGCCAGAAAACACAGCCTGTGATCTCCTGCCCTGGTTATAGGCTTTGGGGAAAAGACAAAGACATCTATGGCATTCCCTATAACGTAAGCCACCTAAGGAAGTGGCATCTCTAGGGTTGCAGCAAAAGTACTCGAGGCAAAAAACACAGCTCCTAGTATTAATAGGGCTATGCATCAGTGAGTACATTCAAACAAAGAACGAGTTAAATAAGTCTGCACATTTCTGATCTGCAGGATCACTATTTGCATTTAGAATGACAGATTTTGGTTTGGGTCTGTCTTTATTAGAAAGCAGACAAAAGAGTGGTTTTTTTCCCTTTTGGTTTGTTTTTAAAAGCTTGCAGTTTCAGGAGAGCAAACTGTTGGCTTGAAATTTGTTCTGACTGGCGTTACAGCCAAAAGTTGATCTAGTTTGTCTGGGGAGAGAGAAAGGAGTGGAAGGTTTATCAAAGATAAGCTGGGAACAGATGTTTTAGATTCTCCCAAGCAATCCTGATCAATTTTTTTGTTTTTCCTCAGTCATTTCTTGTGGAGGCAGCACAGAACGGTCTCCTCAGGATACTGATCCAGACATGCCCTCCTCCACATCTGCAGTGACCACCGAGACTGGGAGCGATGAAGTGTTTATTATTTCCGCTGGGCCTGGGGCCAGTGGGCTGAGCTTTACCACTTACAGAACACAGGTAGGAACACTCCTGACCATCTCTAGAAGTCCAGTAAGCCACAGGATGTCCCTCTCAGACAACCCCTGTCACAACCCTCCATTTATGTTCATTGCCTAGCTTGCACAAACAGTAGTGACTGAGCCAGGTAGTTCCTCCTAAACACCAGACTGAGCTGCCACTGAATGACACGGGCCGTGGTCCCCACCAAGAGCCAGGATCTTCCTGACAGAGAAGAACAGTCTAGAGTTCTCACCTCAATCTTACAGATAATAACGCAGAGTTCTGCCAACAGGCTGTAGGACTAGCCCCCGACCCCCGTCCCCAAATCTATTAATCGACAAAGGTGATGTTCCATAAAAACCATCACCTGTGGATTTCTGACTCCCAGGTCCTTCAGTTGCCATGAGCTACTCCTGCCTGCCACTGCCAAGTTGACAGGAAAGTTACTCATTTCCTCAGTCTGTCAGAAAACTATTTAACAGCCTCACTGGGCTGATGCGATGATTAACAATGAATGCATACCCCCAAAATCAAGCATGTCAAGTGAAAGCATTGGGGTCCTTTCAAAAGAGGGATACACACAGCAGAGAAGCCTGGATCATTTCAGCAAGTTCTCTTATTTTAGCTTTTTCCCCTTGCACTTCTGACCAATTATTTGTTTGGAAGTGCATTATACCTCAAAAGTCTTAAGTATAGCACCATTTCTTCAAAAGTAAGTGTAGTGACTTGTAGAGTGAGTCCACGTCAAGTCTATATTAAAGCCTTTCCCAGGTCAATGCTCTTTCCTCTCCACTGCCTTCTCTCTCTTTCTCCCACAAGAGGAAAAAGAACAACCAGTACAGGAACTTACAGGCTCTGGTACCTTGTAATAGAGTTTCATATATCAAGAGTCAATATAGCAGAGAATCAGAGCTTACAAGACATAAGCAATCTGTATCCCTACACTTGAGTAGGAAATTAGCCAGGAGACTGTCTAGCCAAGAGTTTTCTACACTAGTGCAAGACATGTGCTAAGCTTTTTCTCCAACCAGTACAGTCCACCATACTGCTTACTAGAAAAAGGAAGAAAAAAAACCCCAACTCTGGTGCCTTTCCAAATGCATCACCTTCCAAGTAGCAGAGTACTATGGGCTGTATAGGTGCCCAAATAAGGCATCCTTGAACACCTATACACCCTTTGGTTCTTCTTCCCACTGGAAGAGCTTCACCTGATGGCAGCAACATTCAAAGACAACTTCTAAATAGAGGAAATCCATTTTCCTTCCTCTCCCTCTTTCCCCCATCTCAGGTCAAAGTGGCCAAACACACTTAAAAAAAGCAAAACATTACTATTTTACTGTCACAACTAAACCAGCAGAGGAAAAAATATACATATATATACACACATATAGTGCTAAGGCAATTCTAAATTAACATAGCCCAAAGGATTAAAGTGATTTACCACATTATTAACTCAGCAGGCCTCTCTTTCTCACTCCATGGTGTACACTAGTGAGTCAGTACTTCCCAAACAAACCACTTAAAAAGCAGGAGACTTACCCAGGAAGGGCAAAAGGACACCTTTAAAAGCACTAAGTCTTTCAGCACAGCTGCAGACTATCCTATCTGAGTAGGCTGGGAATTGCAGGCCATTCACAAGCCTTCACTCAAATAGTATCTCTTCAGGCTTGTTGAGTTACTCAGGGTTTCTGGATGTGAGAAATAAATATCTAATTTCTAGATGTGTATTTTCAGGGTGTAAAATGCATCTGTAAGGAGGCCAGCCAGCTCCTGATTTTAGCCTCTGAGCTCTGCAGTGTGTAGCTTCTGTGGACCAGTTCGAGGCAAATAGGATGAGTTATCCACTGGAACATAGCTATTTTCTTGGCAGGAGCTAAGAATATATTCTCATGTGTAAAGAAGTGTGAAATCTCGAGCCTTTACAGTACAGTAAAAAAATGTCCTTAGATTCACCTCACCCAAAATGCTTGTCCAGACAAATCAAACTATATACAGCTTTAACAAAAAACACTATCCAAATCTTTGTCCTGAGAAATGGTGGCTGGCTACTAGCTCTTGTCCCTCCCAGTGAGCGTGAGGCTCAGCTCTGTTGGGAAGGGGCCAGTGATAAATTGTTTTTTTTTTTTTTTTAAAAACTTTTAAAATGTTGTTGAAGAAACTAATTCCCCTGTCCAGAGGTAACAGCTGAGAGAGCAAACACACTTCTCTACAGGTGGAGAGCACTGAGGAAACGGTGGGCAGGACTGATAATGCAAAAGGAACAACCAATCTTTAGGATGGCTTCTGAGGAACACAGGTCCCCCAAGAGGGTCATGGCTTTCTAAGTCCCATTTATTTTAAGTCATCCTTCTCTCTGAGTGTTAGTGACTTGAAGGCCAGGAGGTGCCCAGTTTGCATTCTGTGAGGTTTTCATTATGTTGGTATGTCTAATTATCCAACTACAAATCTGGGGGTCTCCATAAAAATAATGTATTTTGAAAAGACCATTTTACATGCAATCTTTGCTTCTTGATGGGGGCTTTGTTCCCCTCTACAAACTGGTCTATAAGGACTTCTCAACCTGCTTCAGCCTTTTGCTAACAGACCTATGACTTGTATTCAGACATTACAAGTTTCAGATTAAGGGATCTGAAATTAAAGACTGATGGAGTATTAGCAGGGAGGTTTAAAAAACATTTTTTGCTAAAACACTTTTAAAAATCTAGAAAATACATTATTCATCTTAGTAATTACTCCCAGAATATCTGTCTCAAACCTAATGGCTTTCACACCAGTTTGGAGGTAATTGTAATAATATTATAATAACAAATCCTAAGATAGACTGAAGAGGCTTCTGAGAAGACGACAGCTGGGTTATAAATTTATAAAGATTGTTACTTCAATCAAATCTGAAATCAAGAGTTTACTATTGAGGCAAACTTATTTTTTTTCTGCTGAGAATTTTATTCTGTGGAAATAGCTAATTTCTTGTCTCTCTACCCATCCCTTTTCATTTTGATATTTTAATTAAATACTTTCTTTGATTTGCAGAAATTTGACAGATGTTGTTTATCAGAAATAATAAATGACAAGTTTCTGGTCTCCCAAGATTTTTAAATCCAGGACACACTGTGGGATTTATTTCAGACCATCTTTAAGGACTATTAAAACTCTGCATTCTTCTCGTGACAACCATACTCGCACAGCTGAAAATTAAAAATACATATACAGCTGTGGAACAGGAGGCTTATACAAATAACAGGTGACGTCTTAGCATGAATGAAAGGAGATTTGTAAGACAGTGAGGGATTCTTTAATTTTCCTGTCTCTAAAACCACATCAATATTAAGAAGCAAAACTATGATTCTAAGTGCAACACAAGAATATAAAAAATAAGGATGGATGGAAGGGATATTTAGAAGTTATCTATCGTTCACTCCTATGTCAGATCAACTCTGCTAATAGAGACAGCTGCTAAGAATGGTTTAACATGGTCTCGATTTCCAGTAATGCCAATGGAACCCCTGTCTAGACATCTTATTCTACTGCCAAAACATCCTTCCAACTGAAAAACATTTATTTAACCTGAAAGGAAAATCTCCTTGACTCCTATGTGGGCCTTGTTCCTCTTGTTCTAGCCACCATATACATGGAGAAGATTATTCCCTTCCTTTTTGTCATAGCCTTTTACTTCCCTAAGCTAGACGAAATGGTACCAATTACTTCAGTCTTTCCTCCTGAATCATGCATGAATCCTCATGAATTATTTTTTAGACTTCTGATTCTCTTGTTGCTCTCTTTTGGATTTCTTTCCATGGGTCCCATCCTTCTTGAAGTTTTGTTTCCTCAAACACAGCTGAACCCTTCCAAGAGCTGAGTAGAGCAGAAAGACTATGTTTTGCAGTGAGGCTTACTACTCTGTCAGGTATCTCCACTATAACAAAGCTGTAAATATTGGATGTATTTCATTAGTGAGAGTGGTAGGATTTTGTTTCTTAAATAACTGAAAATTCCCAATTCAGTGGAAAACCAGAAAATGAGGAAACAAGGTGAAACAGCTGTCCAGGGAAGTCAGTGAATTGCAGGCAGCATGCTGGAAGACAAACAGGTAGAAGTTCCAGTCCTGTGTCTGTCCTGGGAAAAGAACCACTGAAGGAAAGAGTCACTTGCACTGGCAGCATAACTTTTAAGTGTTTCTAAAACCTTTTGATGAAAGACGTTAACAATTTTTATTTGTTATTTCCAGGACAAAAACCTAAAAAGAAGTGTCACAAGCCCAGCCTCCGTATCTGACTGGCTGACTTCTAATCACGTGGCTACAGGAGCAGACACTGTTGAGAAGGGGAACGTCCAGATGGAAAATCATTATCCCAGACAACGAACGTGGAGTGCCCGCACTTTCCATGATTTCCTGGCTCCTATACCACAGCTCCAGAAAAAATGGTGTAGTTGGACTACCAATAGTCCCTTTACAAAGCTGGTTGACAACAGTGTAAGTCTTGCTAGGAGGAGTTCAGGTTTTGTGCCCCTAATGCCCCAGCTGCTTGCTGATGTGGTACATTCTCCCCTCAACATATGGTTTTGCCTCTCCAACCTGCAAATGGAATACACATTGCAACCCATCTTGCTTGGCATATGGGAGACTCTTTTGCCTAACTATATTGTAATTTATTCAGTCTTTCCTGAAGTGCTAAGCAGCCACATTTCCCAGCAGTTAGTATCTGGTTGAGAAACGATCTCCATCCAGAAAAACATCAAAAAGTGCCTTCAGGCAATAGTACCTTGTTAAGTCTTCAGACATATTCCTTATTCCTGGTTGTACCTTAAAATTATTTAATTCACTTATTACTGTTGCACTGCAAGGGGTCTGTAGGTGTGGGAGGGATATATAGGTCTCTCTGACCATAATCAGCAAGCCAACAGAGCTTGTTACAAAGCTAACAGAGGATGTTTCTTCTGAGGAATAACATAGGTAAAAGAAAGCATCTCACCTCTAGCATAGGAAGAAATTTTAACTTTTCATTCTCTCAGGATCAAGGTTTCTCAAGAGAACTGCTTTTCAAAGCATGCTTACTAATTTATTATTATTTTGACAGGGTTTTCCTACAGCTGCAAGAACCCAAGGTGTTCCCACCAGAAAAGTAATTTCAGCCACTGAGATAGAGGGAGCTTTAGAGACTGTTTACTCTGATTCATCTACCAGTAATGCCTCATATCCCCTCACTCTGTCTGCACAAAGGCAGCGGAAGCTGAGCTCCTGCAACTTGAAGAAATCCAGGTTTGGGAATCCTTGTTTTGGATTTTTAACCAGTTCCCCTGACAGCAAACATATGAGGTCCTTGGACCCTTCAAGACACCTAGGGACAGTATCTCCAGTTAACAGTCAGAGCCCCAAAAATCCTCTAGAAGGCTCCAACCCCCTGAAAATCAACTTGGTCAATGGTTCAAAAACAAAGGAGCTTGTGGTAGAAACAGAAAAAAGCAAACCAGTTTTTGTCATTTCTGAAGAGGGGGATGATCAGCAGCCTTTGGTCCTAGCAGAACATCTCAGTCAATGCGGAGATCATCTGTCTGAGCAAAATGCTACGTACGCTCCAGCAAGAGCTGTGCCAGACAAACAGCCAGTGGTTCTGACTGCTGAGGGCAACAGTTCTGCCAGCTTCACGTCAGATCTTCCCCTTTGGGCAAAACCCCCTGGTTTATACAAAGGTCATCTGAAGGCCCCTAGGTCTTCCAGGGACCAGCAGAGCTTGCCACCTGTAGCTGCTAATACTACTGAGATCTCACTGAGCTTTGATACCTTAGCTAATCCTACGCTATGTCCAGCTTCAGTCCAGTGATGCCCTCAGAAAGACTAGAACATCAGTTCATCAAACAGATGCAACAGGCATATGACTGGAGTGGAACTGTGTCGAGTAGTGGAGAGCAGCAGTTATAGATGGATGCAACTTTGGGCTTTGCCACCCACTGATAGATTGGGATTATGAGCATACTTAACATAGCGCAGCACAAACACCATCTTCCCTTATGCTCATTAACCTCGAAACTCCATGCATAAGAATAGATTTGATGTGGTTTATACAAGAAAGCATCCTGTGAAAAGGTATTTCAGACTGCAAAACATCTTTTCTGAAATGAGAAATGAAAGTGATTTGAGATGGTTACTTCATGGCTTATATCTGAAATGTAAATCAGTCCCCTGTCACTGTGGTATTACTTGAGTCTTTCTGTTCAAAGCTATGAGTTAAACTCTACTCGTAGGCGTGCCTGTACAATTCAAACCTGGCCTAGCCAATGGTAGAATTCAATCATGCATGCTAGTGTACAGTTTTGTAGACTTAATTTTAAACAGTTCATAACTTTTGCACTCTAGCACAGTTTACCAAGCATCAGCATCTCTATTAAAGAACATGACTATCATATTCTGACTCTTAAGAAAAGTGTACAGACAAGCTGAGCAACCCCAATACTGAATGTTTGTTCTACTCTGAAAGTCTGCAGTATTATCGTTGTTAGATGTACATAAGTTTAAAAAAAAAAACAAAAAACTCAGTCCACTACATTTTTTTTTTTTTATTTCTCATGGCAACAGGAGTACATGTATAAAAACACTGAAATACTCACTAGGAATCATCTTCAGCATCCAACACTACAATATTTGCAGCTGCTCTGATACTCTATCAGCCAGCTATTTATTGCTAGTAACGCACATCGACTAGTGAACTATTTCCCTTCCTTTAGCAGTCAAGACTTAAAAGGCAAAATTAAGTGGGGCAAACTTGAGTGCTCACTCTCTTTAAAAATGAGCTACTAAGTAGCTGTGCCACCCTGATTACAAACCCAGGGCATTCAATGCAAGACTGAACCAAAGGGAAGCCTGCTAGTCTTACTGCCTCTAATAATCCAATTTTATTCAGTATTTTAATCGCCTCCTAGTGATATTCTCCTGTCTTGGTGAGCAATGCCTGCTACTCAACCCAGGACTCTGAATTATTTTAGTTTCTTAAATGAAAGGAACCCCCTATGGAGCTGTACTATTGCAGCTGAAATAGGATATTGTTTTAAAGTAAAAGTATGTCATGAAACAGGTGTCAGAAAGAGAAGTCTTTCATACAAATCTTCCCCTATATTAGCTACACTATGAATCAAGAGAGTTATCTTAATCTTTCCATGTGGAGGCATTTAAGTCCGATTCCTGAAATATTTAACTGAATTATTTATGATTTCACCTGCTATTACAGTGTCCATCTGCCACCTATTAATGTCAGAAATATGCAACACAAGACTGTAGGCTTTGCTTAACAATTCTTGTGTTTATGTGTTGATGTAGAGAGAGAAGCCTTGCATCTGGTAGCAGTGGAAGCAAAAACATATACGCCTTTAAGCAGTTGACTCAAAAACAAACAGTAGGCACAAGTCTCAGCATTTATTGTTACCAGACTGTGCTTAGTAGATTTTCAAAGCACCAAAGTCTGGCTCCAAGTCATTGTTGTTTTTTAAATTAATGTTACATGATTCAAAGGGAAGAGTTAATATATTTATGATTATAAAATATATTTAGAACTCTGCAGTACTCTAATAATAACCTCTACTGTGTTAAGTTCATACATATTGTAAAGCAGAGTCAATGCTATCTTACCTGTTACTTTTTTAAAGACTGCAGTACTAAATCTACTTTTGAAAAGCATTTGTGTTCAGTTATTGACAAAAGCTACCTTTGAAGGGCTGGGAAAGTGTCCTTTTTCAATAAGAGTGTTTAAATATTCATTTCTACAATGTAGAACAGTAATCTTCCAGCAAAATAAAATCGTATGGGCATTGTCCCAGAGCACCAGTACATCAACACTCATAACCCCTTCTCCACTATCAGTTGCTGCAAAGAAATGAGCATGAAAGCTGCTGCATCACCAAGTCAGCAAATACCCATCACTGAACTGCCCTCACTCCACCCTTCTGATCAGTCAGGGGGGCGGTGGTGGTGGTGAAATCTGTATCTCTATATATGTATATATACATCTCCTATTTAATTTCTTCTTAGTAACCTAGGTAGATAATGAGGTGGTTGTTTACACTGACTTCCTCTACTACCTATCTTTGTAACCAAAGAGCAGACTTTTCTAAACCTATGAAGACTGTTGCTAGAGGCTGGTCTCTCTGGGAGTTTGGGCTTCCTTTCATATATGCTTATTTTCACACATCCAGTAACACTGTATGCCACTTTGTCATTGCCCACTGTAGCAACAGACAATTATACATGAGACACTAAACTGGACATCCGATATTGATGTGATAACTGAACAACATTGCTTACTCCCAAAACAGATGTGGCTAATTTAACAAATTATTCAAAGATTATGTCCAATGCCACTGAAAGATACAGAAGCCTAACTGAAATATGCAGCAGATAAACAAATTCTAATCACTAACGCTGGCCTTAGCAAAAAACAAAAAAAAAAAAAACAAAAAAAACAACCCCCCCCCCCCCTTGGTCAGTCCTGAACAGCCAAGAGTACAGCATGTGAAAAACTTAAGCTTTAAGTTCCTGACTTGTCTTTTGAAGTTCCTACTTTTCTAGGCAGATCACTCAACTACTAAAGAGGTACTTGCGTTTTATTTTGTACCTTTTAAAAAAACACGCAAAAGATTTTGCTCCTCTTGCAGCAAAAATAAACTATTTTGAAATCCTCCTTTTTTTCCCCAGGAACGGAAACAGTTTCCAAACATGGTCTTCAAACAAAACTGTAGCACCAATTTAAGAAATTCTGAAAGCCCCTGGTAGAACAGAGTGCTATAATACTCTCAGCTGTAAATACTGACTAGGATTAGTTAAAAACCAAAAACAAGACAAAAACAAGAAGAATATTACTTGTAGCATTTATTTTGCTTCTAACAGCTGTATTACTTCCGATAGATATGCTCACACTTTTTATGACAGAAAACCTCACAGCTCTGGACTCTGGACCATGAAGATCCAGTTTTATCTTCATGGTAACGCAGTCAGTTTACTGCGCTCTTTTGCATATGGTAACTAAGCAGCAAATGGGATAAGCATGCTAAACACTTGCTAAAAAGAAGAAAGTAATTTCAATCACAATTACATGGAAAAATATGTCTAGAAAATGTTTCAAGCTAATAAACAGAAGGAATATTATTTTCAGTAAAAATGGACTTGAGTAGATGTTCACTTTTTTTTTTTTTTTTAAATCTTCTGGAACATACTAGGCACTCCCTTCAGCCAATGTGTTAGGTAGACTGAACTGGACTTCAAAAACACGTGGGCAAGAACCGTTCTTTCCTTGTTGGAAACAGCTTGAAACTATGTAAGGTGACAAGAATGCTGTCTGCTAGGTTTCTTACTGACAAGTAGTTAAAATAATTGAGAATGTAGGCTCAATGGAAAAATAATCTGAAAGACTGAACATACAGCTAATGCACCCTAACTTTAGGGATTCAGAGTAGCATTCAGCAAGAGTTTGGTTAAAGCAGAATATTGTGTTTGGTTTAGGGAATGGCTAAACTACCATCACTAGACTGATTAGGAAGAAAAAAATTACTTTATATTTATATATATATATATCTCTATATTCATTCATAATTTGCTAGCAGAAACATAACTGAGGTTTCCTTTCAGACATCTGCCTTTTCTTTAAAGGCAGTTGGTTACAAAGCATCCTACTCGACTGTTTTCCCCTCCCCCCCATGAGGATAGCACATGAACTATAACAAGACATATTTGACTCAAATATTCTGAACAGCCAGCTACCTGATTTCATTCTACCTGATTAGTTTGGATTGCAAGGAAAAAGATAAGTACTAAGCCAACACTTACCTAATGTAAGGAAGTAAATGAAACTCTGCAGCATTGGAAAGAATACCCAGAGACCAAATATAACTTCAGCATACATTCATGGTCTGTCTAGAAATGTCTTTGATGTTAAACCTCATGTGGCACACTTAGCTTTTTTTATAATTCATTTCCTATGGGAACTAATGAGCTTAAGGGTGAAATTACCTCATTGAAAGTCAAAATGAGAAAGTGTGAAGAAAAGCAGGATGACCCAAAAAGCAGATTTAGAAGCAATCTTTGCATATTAAGCATTGCTGTGGGAAAGAAATAATGTAATTAATTTTCTTCAGAAGTTATTCCTTGGAATTGCGTAAGTGGTATTTCAGCTCCCAAACATCATGCAAAAAGAATGTTAGATAAAATAGGTGGAAAAAAAGAGAAAACTCCATGCGTTCTTTTTAAAACCAAGAGATCCTTTTCCTAACTTTCAGCAACGCAGTGACTGTTGGTTTATTTTTAGAGGGCAGACGGTACAAAATAAGGCCCCTTTCTAGCAGAATTTTGTAAGAAAACATAAGAAAACAGATTTTTGGAGCACAGTTGAGTGTGGACCATGCTTTTCTCAAACGCCTAACTGCTCCTACTTGAATCACTTTTTTCCTAAGTTCTTGCCGGATTCTTGCTAAGCCATCTGCACTATACTGTTCTACTTAAGAACAGAAATTGATACAAAATAGATATTCTTTTGTTTGCAAAATAAACGAGCTAATGATCTTGTCAAATACCAAGAGTTTCCTTTAAGTTCAAAGGAAGGTAGCATCAGAGCTTAAACACAAATCAACTTATACAGTTGCTGATCAAATACTTGACGCACACTGAGGACTCTCAAATTAACACCGACTGCTGATGTTGATACGTTGTCAGCTATTCCAGCTGCAAAAGGCCATATGTTGTGTCCTGTTCTTCTCATAATCATGCACTTCCTCCATAAAGGATAAAGAAAGAGGGTAGCTCTAAGAAAGCTTATGTCGTGCTAGACCTGATCAAATGGCGTAAACTAAAATAAACCTAAATTAGGTTAGGTACAAGCTATTTGGTGACATAATGGAGTATAAAACACTTAAATCCACCAATATAAGGGCAAGTCAAGCCAATACTATTTCAAGTTTAAAGATCTATAGCTTCGTCTGTATGGCTCACAGAACAACATTACATTTTCACTTTTATATTGCTTAACTGCGACTTTGAATTTCTTTTCAATGTAGCCTGAAGAACAAATGACAGCTGCCTTAGCAGCAGCAGTATGGATTAGCTACAATATCAAAAGATTTCTATTTCCATCTTCAAGCATGAGAGCAGTAACAGCACAAAAAAGCCTAGGATCCTCAGCTGCAATTTAAAGTTTTAACAACCGTGACATAACTGACCTCAGATAGAACAGGGTGCAGACAAGCTTTCCTATTTACTAAGCAGAGGAAAAGTAACAAGTACTAGAGAAAATTCTATTAATAGTAGCCATTTGAAATCCTATCATTTATACATATTAGATCACTGAAAATATGGAAGGTATAGAGACCCTTAACACAATATGGTAATGATTTTCTCTAGCCTGCTGTTAAATCTGCAGTGGTATAATACTCGTCACTTCTGTGTCTACAGTGTTGCAATAAATTAAAAAACCATCCACTTTTTTTTAAGTAAACTTTTTTTTTTTTTAATTAGCACTTGAAGTCATCTTG